CGGGCCTGGCCAATGTGGACCTGAGCGCGCAGAACCCCAACATCCAGGTGGGGAGCAGTTCTGAGTGGGCTATGGGGGGATGTGGGTGAGTGCCGTGTGTGCTCCCCAGGCTCATTTGCTTCCCTAAAGAATAAAGTTCTTGGGAGCGGAGTCCATGTGGCTGCTGCTGTCTCTCTTTCTGGTAACTACCAGATGCGAATAGCTGGCACAGACAAGCTCCTTGCAAGAGGAATTTACTCATGGCCTTTTCCCTGTTCCCCCACTCCCCCACAGGCCCTCTCCATAGAGCAGGGGCAAATGCATCTATGGGGGTGACCTCTCAATTTCTGAAGGTGGTCCCTATGGGTGACCAATAGCCCTCCCTGTGCCTCCTGCTCTGCCCCTGCTCAGTCCCTCCAGATGAGTCAACACCTCTCATCATCTACATGGTCATGTAGTCTAAAGCATCTCTGGCCTCTCAGGCTTGGAAGCAGTGCGTGGGCTGGCAGGTCTGTCCTGGGGCTATGCCTGGCTTACTGCACTGCCTCATGTCTGGCCTCCAGGTGACCATCGAAGTTGTGGCTGATCCTCAGGCTGAGATGGAGATGGACTTGTTGAAGGAGACAAGCAATGACTGGTCCCTGACATCCCCTGAGTGGTTGTCCCACAAGGATCTCTTCTGGCCCCTCTTCTGGGAATACACTGACCCTGCTGAAGAGGAGGAGGATGAAGAAGAGGATGACGATGACAACCTGAATGTAGGGGACAAGGAGGATGAAGAGGAGGAAGATTACACAGCAGAGTATGAGGAGGAGGAGTCCATGCTCAGTGGAGTGGGAGGTGACTGGGACCAGCGGTGGCCCAGGCAGAAGAACTGGATCTTTAAGGAAAAATATGATTACGGTGAGTCCTCTGGGGCATGTGTGCTGCCCTGCAGACCAGCACTGCCCTCCCCTGCCCTACCTGACCCACAGCCCTGCCTTCCTGCAGGGGGAGTAGCCCTGCACCAGGGATCCCAGCACGCTGGTGCTCAGCTCTTGCTTAAAAAATAAGCAACCGTGCCGTAAAGCAAGGCCAGCACCCAGCTGGGGCTGCCAGCGGTCAGGCACGCCAGTGTCCCAGTGGAAATTGCACTTGCATGTAGTCAGACTGGAGCATGGACTCTAGCAAAGGCATGATCAGATGAGACATACAGTGTAAACGGCCACTGCTTCTGCCATTGACTCAGGCCCCTGTGGTGACACTAGTGCCAGAAGCTTTTGCCACAGACCTGAGCACTCCCCAGGAGAGGAGCTGCAGAGGGCTAGGTCTTGGTTGGTTGCTGGCTACCCTGCTGCTAAGGCTTTGCTGAGGTTCCCCACTCTCTGCCTCTCCTCTGCTGTGTACAGACTATGAAGATGAGGAGGAGTGGAGTCCATGGTCCCCTTGCAGCATCACCTGTGGCAGTGGCAACCAGAAGAGGACCCGGTCCTGTGGCTACGCCTGCACAGCGACAGAGTCAAGGACCTGCGACCTGCCGCGCTGCCCTGGTGAGCCCCAGGCCCCACCAGTGCTTGGGCAGCGTCTGACCTGATGTGGACCAGTCCCTCGCTGCTGCAGGCTGGGCTTTGCTCATGCTTCAAGAGCTAGTTATGTTTAATGTGATCTGGGCTAATGACCAGAGGGTTTTTTTTCCACGAAGAAGCTGACGGGGCTTCATGGCTCTCCAGTAAGTTACATAGCGTCCAAGGGTGGTAGAGCTGGCATCCAGCTCAGTGTGCAACTCCTTGCACCTCTCTGGGAACTTGAAATCCTCACCTGAGGCATACTGAGAGCTCCATCCACGGGAGTTTGCATAACCCACAGCTTTGGGCAGGTCTCTCCTGTGTGTCACCGAAGCAGTGGTGGGAGGAGGGTTGGAAGATGGATGGTGTCTGGTTACCTTACAGAGGCAAAAACTCAACACTCCTCCTGGTGTTCAGCCTTGCTCTTTGTTTGTTTGTTTGTTTTTTCCCTCAAGGAGCAGAGGGGGAAATGGTCTTCCCCACAGAGGAGGTGCCTTTCAAAAGTGACAACACCACAGAGCTCTTCAACTCAGGTCAGCCTCTGCCTTGCACTGGGGGCTTCAGTGCCAGACCTCACAGGGGATGTAGCTCCCTGGTGGGGAGGGGTCTGCCAAGGGCTCCCAGATCTGGTATCCAGACCTAAGCCACCCAAACCAGTGCCATGTGCAGGCTTTGGCAGTCATCCTGGGAAACCCAGGTCCTCCCACAGCCCTGGTACAAGACAGTCTTGCTTTATGGTGCAGTGGCTGGAGCCAGCTTGCTGCATGTCCTCTCCCATGGCCCCTGTAGTGATGGGTGCCCTGGGCAGAGCCCCTGCAATGGGCAGCTCTGCCCCAGCACAAAACCCCTTCCCTGTCACTGGCTCGGGGATGGAGCCTGGCTCCAGCTCATGCCAGGAGCCTGGCTGCTCCTGCCTGGTGGTTGCAGGCTCTGCCTGTGGTCTGGTGAGGCTGCGGGCAGATGGGTAAAGCTGGGTGCAGGCTGCATGTGCCCTCACCCTTTTGGTGCCCTCCCCCCCCAGAGGTGGACAGCTGTGAGAAGTGGCTGAACTGCAAGAGTGACTTCCTCACGAAGTACCTGAGCAAGGTGCTGACGGACCTGCCCAGCTGCCCCTGCTCCTACCCGCTGGAGGCCGTCTACAGCGCCGTCAACCTGCGGGATGAGCAGCAGGGCAAGAGCTTCCGATGGCGGGATGCCAGCGGCCCCAAGGAGCGCCTGGACATCTATAAGCCAACGGCGCGTTTCTGCCTGCGCTCCATGCTCTCCCTCGACAGCACCACCCTGGCTGCCCAGCACTGCTGCTACGATGAGCACACCCACCTCATCACCCGTGGAAAGGGGGCTGGCGTCCCCAACCTCATTAGCACCGAGTTCTCCCCAGAGCTGCACTACAAGGTGGACATGCTGCCCTGGATCCTCTGCAAGGGGGACTGGAGCCGCTACCACGCTGTCCGGCCCCCCAACAACGGGCGGCAGTGCGCAGACAACCCCGCCGAGGAGGAGTACCTCTCCCAGCTGCAGGAGGCCAAGGAGTACTAGCTGTGGCCACGCTCAGAGGAGCCGGGGCCACTGCTGGCTCCTACCCTGGCCCAGCCTGGTGAAGCCCCAGCCCTGCTCATGGGCTCCTTGCTGGCACCGGGCAGAGTGGGGAGGATACAGCATCCCTCTTGTCCTCTCAGAGGGGCGCCTTGGCCTCCCTCGGATTTCTGAGGGTGCTGGAGGTTATTGCAGTGCAGTCCCTGCCGTGCCACCCGCAGTCGTCCTGCATCCCGGGGTGCCTGGGCTGGCACATGGGGAGCTGCAGAGGATGGGAGGTGTAAAGGGAATGGGGGCTGCTCCCATCTGCTGTGATCTTTCACTGTGATCTTTCAATGCAACCTGAAAGCTGAGCGTCTGCAGGGTGAAATGTCCTCATTTCCTGCTGGCTCCACAGCAGATCTGAGGAGCTGGCCTGCCGCAGGCAGAGCTGTCTGGCCCCACCC